AGTCAACCCCCTCATTACATCTCTTCATCTGAGAGTCCAAACCCTAGCTGCCTAAGTTCCCTCGCCGGCGCCGCCTTGCTCCGCCGCCGGAAATCGCCTCACAGCAGTAGCGATGCTCCAATCCACTCCAAATTAACCCCCCAGAATCCTTGTCATCTCCTCTTCCCACATCTCTAACCTGTTTCCCTCAAATCCCTCCAACTTTGGATCTGAACTCAGAAACTTAAGAACCCTAAATCGCCCAAATGGCCCCAAACCCACACCAAACAACCACCACCTCCCCCTCACCTCATATCTTCACTCTGTTTCACCTTAAAATCACCCAAATCCTTTGGATTCCGGATTTGAGAAACTTCCAAAGCCCTCAATTTTGTCCTTTTTGCCTCGCCGACGTTTCTTCAGAGTTTGACCCAAAACTTACATTGGTGGATCGTTCTTGATAAGAACGACTGATTACTGTCGATTTTGGGTCATTTCCAAAACTTGCCAGGATTTTAGTCCGTTGGCAGTGATCGACCGGATGCTCCGAGTCCAATTGGTTTATTACGATAGAATAGGTAACCTCTTAACCATTTTTTCTCTCTTTTGACTGATTTCTTGTTATAGTCGCATGATTAAGGGTTTTAATTTTTTCTAGAATTGTTTGTTAACTTCTATGTTAGTCAGTAGTTCAGGGATTAATTTATGCATTTTCCCTCAGAGTCGTTAGATTTTCAGCTTTTGTTCGGTTATGGTTTATTTAAATTAGTTTAACCTTGTGTTTAGTCTAGTTTGTTTTGAAATCAGCTTGTTAATATCTCGTTGAGGTTTGATTCCCTATTAAGTGGAAGTTTTAATTGGTTCAAAAGGTTCGAATTTCAGAAAATGGATCATTCATTGGTTAATTCTTGTTAGTGTCAGTTTCAAAATGTTTAAGTATTGTATCATTTCGGATTTCATCTCAATAATAAATCTATTTAGGTTTTAAGGTTGGTGCCATTTGATCTTTATTTCCATTTGGTTCTGGTTTGGAGTTGTTTGCCTTAGTTTTTAAATGGTTAGAAACCCTTAGGGCCCAATTAAACAACTAAAAACTTAGGGGTTTAAGCTGGAAATGAAAAAGGGACTTTCAGATAAATTCCTACAAGAAGCTTCTAGAATAGGGGGCAGATGTCCTAGTTAGTTAAAAAAAAGATGCCTTTTACAGGCTGAGAATAATTCCCAATTCTGTTTGGAGTACATGGCCTTAGAGGCCTGTAAAGACTGTCCTCCCTTCACTCTAAAACCAGACTTTTAAGCATATTTCTCTGCATCAAAGTTCTAAAAAACACATCAGGATTTCAAGACCTTGAAAAAGAAAAAGTTTCTGCAATACTTTTCGCAAAATTAGCTGGAATTGTCTCTGATCTTTCCTTTATGAATTTCTAAAAGCTGTCATTGGGTTGTTGGTTTTCTGGGTTCGAATATGGATTAAACTGAAGTTGCTGTTGCTAATTGTTGATCCTTACACATCTTGGTTTGAAGTTTTCTTATTTCATTCTTTGTTGCTCACAAGTATATTCATGGGCTTGAAGTGATAAAAATTGGATTGTAGCATGTTGATTCGGACTTTGATTCTTGATTTACATATAATTAAATGTTCTTTTTTACATCTATTTTGTTTTTCTTCAATCCGAACCTGTAACTTCTTTAAGTCTGTCTTAAATACTATCGATATTGATGTTATCATATTTAGATGCCCTAGACATTTCAAGGCTGTTTTGATTCATTCATATGTGATCCAATAGTTCATTGTACTGAGTAATTGTAATCCGTGAGATTTGGGAAGGCTGTTGAGTATACATTGTGTGTTTTAACTATCAAGCATAACAGCATGTGTAGATTTAAATTAATCCATGAATGAGTTTTATAGTTTGGATTAAAGGGTTGAAATCTCGATTGGGCTTGACAGTGGCCTAGATGAGGCAGCCCAGCTTAAGTGTGACTTGGGCTTTTGGCCATGATCTGATTCATGTCATGGGCTCAGTATCTAGCCTTGTTGTATTTTTATTTATTTCGCTTGGTATAATGGACGTGGGCCTTAGTACTCAAGGCATGATTGTACAGAGTTGGGTCGTGCATTCGTTGGCCCATGTGGAACTAAATGACCGTCTGCCTGGCTTCACTTATGGGCTCGATTTGAGCCTAGTTTTATTTCAAACAGTTTTGGGTTTGGGCTCAAGCCAGGATCTGCTTAGATAGTTAAGGGCCCAGCACATGTGTACTAATTTTTATAACTAATAGTTATGTATCAAGTTCAGACCATTTTGTAAATATAAAAAAAAGAAAAGCATCCTTAGGCCTAATTAACCACGATTCTTAAAAAATAGATTGAGCTATGCCATCTATAAATTATATCACCATGGCCCTTACAAATATTATACTAGTTATTAAAAATGAACACTCGTAGAAAAGCTTTTAGGCACATTTTAAAAAATACAATTGTGACTGTGTACACGTTCATGACATAATCACGATTCTAAAACTAAAGCGGAGTATGCGTTCGCGCAACTTCGACCAACTTTCTCAATAATAAAATTATTATTAACTTAGTCCTCTTTAATTAAATATAGTTCTTTTAGGCCGAGATGTGTCATCCATAATTAAATCACCTATGGCCCTCCTAGTGGTATTATAACTTAGATATTAAGAATAATGATACTCGTAGCTTGCTTTAAGCACGTTCAATATACCATCGTGGTTGTGTACATGTTCGCGTGACATAATTACAATCTTAAAAATAAAATCGGGGTATGCGTTCGTGCAACTTCGACTAAACATTCTTAAAAATAATAAGGCATTATTAATTGTGGACACGTTCGCGTGACATGATTTTTGACGCGCCAAACAAATGGGTACACGTGCGCGTGACCTGTTTCAAGATAATTTTAAATTAAAAAGAGGCAAATGCACATAGGTTTTAAAATGAGTAATTAAACAATTTGATTAAGCCAAGTATGATCAAAGCGACCGTGCTAGAATCACGGAACTCGGGAATGCCTAATACCTTCTCCCGGGTTAACAGAATTCCTTACCCAGATTTCTGTATTCGCAGACCGTAATAAGAGTTAATTTTCTCGATTCGGGATTTTGTACCGAAGACTTGGGACACCATAAAATTATCTCAAGTGACAACTCTGATTTTAAATAATTAATCTCGTTTCGATTATCACTTAAATTGGAAAAACTCCCTTATACCCCTTACGGGGTGGTAAAAAGGAGGTGTGACAACCGATAGGTGTATATTTAACAGTGTACTCTACTGATTTTTCACCATTGTTTGTACAACTAAATAATCACTAACGATGAATTTCTGTATACCAGGGACAACTTGATGATCGTCGGGGCTGCTGACTTCAGAATGATACAATTTCCTTAGTTGTGTCTTGAAAAATTCATACACTGTACGTGTATAACACTAAATTACCTGCTCCTCCCACTTGAAAAATGACTCACACACAATTTGAAAGCCCTTTGACCTGTATTCCGCTCCAACTCTTTCTCATGCTTAGCTCTTATAGCTAACTCATACTGGTGAACAAACATCCTAAGAATGCTTTGACGGGTAATATATCCATCACAGAGCACATGCAACCCCTCACTTCTTTGCGTAGATAGCATATCAACAAAAAATACACATTACGGTACACATGAACCCATTTTTCCTTCTCAGAGTAAAGCTTGTTGAACCAATTCCTTGTATGCAAATTATACTTTGCAATATATTCTGTCCATTTTGTCTCGAAAACTTCAACAGTAATGCTATCAAGTACCATGGATTTAAATTATCCACGTGCAATATTAGAAGGACGAGCACCACTTAATTAAAGAGGCAACTTTGAAAATATATGCCAAATACAATACCTATATATTGTATGTGGCATCACTTCAGCAATGGCTGGCTTAATGCTCTGACATTGGTCAGTTATGATCGCATCTGGATGAACATTTCCCATGGCCTCAAGCCAAGTTCTAAAAACTATTTTTTAACTATCGATATCTTCATGAGACATGAGAGCACATCCCAATAAGATGGACTATCTACGGTGATTGATGCCAACAAATGTAGCACATGGCATATTATGTCGATTGATAAGGTACATCGTATCAAAGCATATCGCATCATGAAATTGCTCATACGCCGCCTTACAGTGTGAATGCACCCATACTATATTTCGCAGCCTATCAATATTATCAACGTCTATTGAATAGAAAAACTCCCTATCCTTTACCCGCATTTCATGAAAAAAGTTGAGCAGTGACTGTGTGTCCCCTTCTAGCATTTCAAAATTCATACTCTTTAAAATAAAATTTCTACAATCTTTTGGAGTGCAACCCAAATTTTACGGTCCACCACATTGAACCTCAGCACGTCTAATATTCTTTGAGGGTCTAATGCTAGATCGATCATGAGTTAGAAGATCTCTCTTCAAAGAATCACAAACAGACCTATGTCCAGCCATCAAGCGCGATATGGAAGGGAGCAAATCATGATTGTGATCGTGAACGACCTTAGAGACGTGCCAACAACCAAAATCATCCAAAACAGCAGTGAGCCTAGCTTTACAATTGTTACTCTTGGTAGTAAACTTGGTTTTGTGAATCCTAGCCCTATCACAACAGTAAGTTATGTACCTGGCAGTGTCACCACCCTTATTGTTGGAATTTCTTTTGACAACAGAGAATCCTTTCAATTGTGCATGTTCTTTGTAGAATGCAAACAAAGAATCTTTATCTCTAAATCGCATTCCAGAGATTGGACCTACAACCACATCATCTTTAGTGAATCCATTCTCCATTTCATGATCAACATCACATAACTCTAACTCATTTCCTAAAAACTGCTACTCATCATTGTCAGCTTCTCCATAATATTCTCCATCAGGTTCTTCTTCATCATCATCATCTAAGTGCACAATATTGTTGAAACTGCCGAGGGAATCAACATCGACCCATTCGTATTCATTCAACAAACTGTCATCCAATGTCATCCCTAAAGATCTGTACAACTCGTCCCTAACTCGATCAAACCTATTATCTTGGTTCATATTCATGGTTGTTGTATTTGTGTTATGTTTATTTGGATTCATATTTTCTTGGTTTGAATCCATTTTTAGATAAGGAGGAAGTGTCCACTTTGACTTGGTTTGGTAAGGAGGAAGTATTTACACTACTAAATCTGATGATACTTCCTCCTACTAAATCGTATACCGTATTTTTTTATAAGAAAATACAATAATTTTCTATACACATAAAATACAATAGAAATACAATATAATGTAAATACTCTTCAGCTTCCTCCGTATGTGAACATGGATGATTTTCACATAGCTCAATGCTTGGGAATAGGAAGAGCCTCTCCATATTTAATTTTTTGTTTTGAAGGAAAAATTGTAATGCTAAATAATAAGGATGTCGTTGATGTAATTTCACCCGTGTGGCCACAGTTGGGCCACAAAAGTGTGATCGTTTAGCACCTCTCATAAGCTATATAGCCAACTTTTCAAAATATTTAATTAGTAGCCAGTGGGGACAAACATCAGACAAAAATTGCTCCTCCTCTTTGTTACGCCCCGCAGTATTACATCGATGTTACGCTCCGCAGTATTATATTACGACGATATTACACCTTGTAGTATTGTACATTGAAATTGTCATAAGATAATTGACCTCAGTTCAAGGACAAGATTATTCGGAGATTATAAGTATTATGCTATTTTAAATAAGTGAAAAGTAAATTCGTGAAGGTGAGAGGGTAAGCGAATCGAAGAAAGTGAGTTTTCGTCGAAGTTTGACAATTTGGGATAAAATACGGTCCAAGCTATAATACCCCGTATTTATGGACTAGTGCCATAAAAGGTACCACATGACCATGATAGTAAGGTGTATAAAGTGTGTTAAAAGTAAGTAATATTTTAAATAACTTGAAATAATTTCTAATTATGTAGATAATTATTAATTTTAATGGGAGATTAACTAATTAATTAAGAGATTTGGATAAGATTAAGGAGCCTCCCAACGTGGCAGCCCATAAAATCTTGATCAAATGACTCTTAATACATGTAAAAGTTGGCAAAATTGGAGGGATTTTGGGTGCCCAAGTCTTACAAAGTGGGGCCACACCAAGACTTAAAATCTCTTTAACCCACAAAAATAAGACATCTCCATACATCATTAAAATGAGGGGCTATGGTGCTAAGTAACGGAGGAGGCTTCAGCAAATACATACAAGAACATGTATGATAAGTAACGTGATTTACTTCAACAAAGAATTCATACGAGACATCTTAGCATAATAGCAATGGGATTTTGCGATTCTAAAGGATTACGATGCAATCTTTCTCAAGAATATCATACGGACTTTCCCCTAATTTGATCCGCCGTTACGTTTTGTCGCAATTGACGTGTGTCACAGGGATTGTCAAAAGAATCGGCTCAGGTATGTTAAGGCTATCCCTTCTTTCTTTTTGTCATAATCTATATAATACAAACGAAACGAGCAAATGCACAATCCATAAATGACTCTATTCATAGAAATGCTAGAGATGCTTATATTCTTGATTCCCCGTATGTCTTATTATTCTATCATTTGTTCATGGGTCTCAGAAAATACGTAAGTTGATAAAGCTTACTTCATGATATTAACCAAAGACATAATGGTCTTATGACACTCCGAAAGATTTTATTGACGTACTTCTCATGCATTGCATTCATTTATACATGTACATTGACCCATGACCATATGGCGTTATATACGCATATATACATAAATACATATATGCATACATATACATACATACATATATATATACATACNTAGTGGCCGAGATAATATGATGGGATGCCCTCAGAGGCTTGATGATGTTATGAACACATGTACCGATGCACGACACGATATTCATATGCCATATGCATGACATTATAAGTATTAAATGATTCACAGAGCTATTCAGACTTGCATGATACATGTTAAGTCTTTTACTCCATGTTTCTCTCATGTCTATTGCCTATTATTTACTGATTTTCATTCCTTACATACTTGGTACATTATTTGTACTGACGTCCCTTTTGCCTGGGGACGCTACGTTTCATGCCCGCAAGTCCCGATAGACAGGTTGAGAGTCCTCCGAGTAAGCTATCAGCTCAGCGGAAGGTATTGGTGCGCTCCATTTGCTCCGAAGTTACTTATTTGGTCAGTGTGATTAGGACTTGTATTGATTGGTATGGTGGGGTCTTGTCCCAACCTTTATGATATTTATGTACTCTTAGAGGCTTGTAGACAGATGTCATGTATACAGATACTTGTATGGCCTTGTCGGCCTATGTTTTGAGTTTACAAATGATCATGTTGGCCTTATAGGCTTGTATGTCACGTAAGTAAGTTTCTATATCAGGTTGGGTCGTTCTATGTCAAGTATTCTCTCATGTTTATTCTACTTATTTCACGACAGCCTCTCCGACTCATTTACCTATAATAGTATGATACGAAAGATGCGTTACGTAGGAACTCGGTTGAATAAGGTACCGAGTGCCCGTCTCGACCATCGGTTTGGGTTGTGACACTCTTCTTCTTCAAAATCTTTTCCATTGTTGGTTAATAAGGATTTCACTGGCACTGATTACTATATAGGGTATCACCATACATATCGTTGTTTTCCGCTCTTGGTGTTTTAGTTATTATATTGTTAATCCCCATAAATTTTTACTATTTATTTTTGGGCTAACTTCATAAAGAATAAATTAAATTGAGACATAATGGATGAAGCCAAACTTCAGACAAACACAAGAAATATGAAACTTTATAAACAAGTTTAACTTCAGACGCAAAAAATTTCAATTTTAATCCTGTGGGTGTAAATTTAATTTTGAAGCGGCTAAATTTACAAAGCTTATGAATTTAGCTATAACTTAAATAGCGGTTGTTTTGCACTTGCCATTGATGGGTCGGATCCATGATGGCATGATCCATTACGAATCTTTTACATTCCTATATACTATATGAAACTATATTACCTTCTCTATTCAAGTTTTACTATAATTATATTTTATATACCCAATTACCCATTTATGTACATTTAAGGGAATTAATGATAATAATTAGTGTCCTAAAATTACTCTAGCATATCTTCTACTCCCCCACGTTTCTCTCTTCACATCTCATTCCCCTCCACCACGTATCTTGCACCCACCCACGATTCCACAATTGACAGCCATTAAAAAGCTTTGAAGCTTTGAATTCGAATTTGGGTTTTCAAAAAATATTATTTGTTTGAATTGGATGTTGTTGTAAAGAATTGGGAATTCTCTCTAAGTTTCTCTCTATCTCTCAATCCCTAATTTCATTAATGTAAAGCAAAGGAAAAGAGAGCATCAATTCCACCATTGACAGTCATTAAAAAGCTTTGAAGCTTTGAATTCGAATTTGGATTTTCAAAAATTATTATTTGTTTGGATTAGGTGATGTTGCAAACAATTGGGAATATGGTTTGGAGTTTATATCTCAATTTTGAGGGGTTTTGGTGAAGTTTAGACTTGTTTTTGGCTGAATTTCAGATTGAAACTCGTAGAAGAAGAAGAAGAAGAAGAAGAAGAAGAAGAAGAAGAAGAAGAAGAAGAAGAAGAAAAAGACGACATGATATACATTATATTTACGAAATTGTAGAAAAATTGTATTATATTGTTTATATATTTTTCTTTTATTTATTTTACTATTGTATGAAAGTTGAACAACATTGTATTAAAATTATATTTAAGTTATATGATATTGTAGTTGTATATAACTGAGTAGAAATAATGTATGAAAGTTGTAGCTAAGTTGTAGATAAGTTGTATAATATATAATTAGTTGTATGAAATTTATTTTTACTATGTATAAATCAGATACAAAATATACAAAAGACATAATGTATAAAAATAGTATTTAAGTGGTATGTTATTATAGTTGTATATAACTGGGTAGAAATAATGTATGAAAGTTGTAGATAAGTTGTAAACACAAGCAGTATAACTTGTATTTAAGTGCGCTCTTGTTTTCCTCCTAAAACCTCAAAAATGAAATATATCACTTGACTGAACTGAACTTCCTGAACCTGGTAACATACGTATGAGAGGATTGAGGACACACAGGAGAAGATGAAATATTCTAGCCAAGAGGTTTTGGGTTTTGTTTAGTTATTTGCCCTCCAAGTAATATTGATTCCAAACATAAAAGGAAATAATATATTTTGTTCATAGGCACACAAAAGAAAGTACTATTATGAGTTGGTTACGTTAGTTATTAATATAGAGAGACAAAAAATTCTCTTTTCCTCCTTAGAACGAATCTGGGGGATTAAACAGGTGGAAATTAATCCAAGCCCTTGAAATTCCTATTATAATGACTAACTTTATGCTTTTCTTTTCATTTACCCCCTTGATATAAAAATCCAATTTAATCATCCTAATTCACTTTTGTCTCAAAAACAAATAATGGAAGATGACAAGTGAGGAATTTTGCCAAATGTGGCTATTAAAAGAAGTCCAGAAACCACTTCAAATATCACCATAAAAATAACTCATATAACAACAACCTGTACGTTACACTTAAATATAAGTTGTGCAAAGATAGATGAATTGGATGGAGGGAAAATTAGGAAGCTTGTGAGGGATATTTTTATTTTACTAAAATTGGAAACTAAAATCAAGGGATACAGTAGTTGGCTTAAATTGCTGCAACGGTGAAGGATCTGGAGAGAAAAGGGAAAATAGGAGAGAAAAAAGGAAAAAGATATAACTAAATTCCTTGATTGAAGGCACTAAT